GCGAAAGCAAAAGCACTTTATTTGGCCGTAGATGCATAGATGCAATGAGGAATCATTGGTTAAGATTTATTTACGACAGAACGGCACAACCCAGATGTTTGAATTTCATTTTATGGATGACAATCTGACGCGCCGTGTGTGTGAGAGAGAGACAGGGTCACATCATCACAGTGGAGTCAGCTTTCTTAATCGCGGCTTGTGTACTGCAAATACATATGCATCATCACTGTGTCTGTCACGCGACTCTGTTCCACTTTCAGGCTTGAACTGATGGTAAAACTAAGGACATTATGTACTGTCTTTACATTTATGTTGAGAGATGAAGCTCATGATTATGGTAAGGGGTGTTACATTTCCGACGCGTACTTGTGGTGTTCGGCCAATCACAATGCACTGGGTCAGCTGGCCAATCAGAGCAGACTGCGCTTGTCAGAAGGAGGGGCTTTGTAGAAAACGACACGTTTGAGAGAGGCGGGGCATAGAGGACCTACAATAATATACAGTATTTGAAAAATAATGTGTTTTTGAACATTAAAGCATGTCAACAAATTCTGTTACACCAAATACACAAAATAAGGAACTTTAAAATAGCATCATATGACCCCTTTACGGCTAAATGCAAGCCACTTATACTAAATGCATATGACTATCAGTTGTCACTCTATTTCTCCAAATAATATGTCTCGGTAAGAAGAAATGCTTCGTTTTATGATCAAAGGTTTGTAGTTTCAAAACGTATAATGCGACATTGATGATTGAGAGGTGTACAAATTTAATACACGAGTTTCACAATTTGAGTTGAATTACTGAAATAAATGAACTTTTCCACGACATTCTAATTTATTGAGATGCACCTGTATGTTCCTCAAAAGCCTGATGGATCGTATTTGATACTCCCATTTCTTCTAAAATATTCAAAAAAAAATTATGTATTTATTTAATACACGAGTTTCACAATTTGAGTTGAATTACTGAAATAAATGAAATAAACTTTTCCACGACATTCTAATTTATTGAGATACACCTGTATGTTCCTCAAAAGCCTGATGGATCGTATTTGATACTCCCATTTCTTCTAAAATATTCAAAAAAAAATTATGCATGGATAAGTACACTTACTAAAATTATGTATGGATTATCAAGTAAATATACAAAACCCTGCTGAAAATCAAATCGTGCATGGATAATTAAGTAAACATAAGTTGTTCAAGGTCAGTAAGTGTTCATTTTGAAATATGACTAACAATATTAAATGTATTCTCATGTTTGCTTTATAAAGATCAGTAAAGATTTCACAGCAAAAAGACACTTGTACCACAAACCATAGGTGATACTAAAAGGCCTTTTACTTGCTAAAGACGTATAAACTGGCAATAAGGTGACAGAAGGGCTCTAGTAGATTGTGTACAAGAAGTTTTTCAGCAAGATTGCATCATGTTGATAATTTAGGGGTCTTAGAAATTTGTGTAATATGATACAGTAGGCTTTATAGGGTTAATAAATGGCAGCAAAATTAAAAGTCTGCTACGTTCAATATAATTGATTCATTCATGTACTTCTATTAAAGGTGTTGTAAGCAATTTCAGCTTTCACCTTTACTAACGTATGCAAGACTGGCCACTCTCTCCAAAGCCATTATCAGCAAACCACAAAATGTAGATTTTGGTTTGGCTTAAAAAGTGTGGGATGCTCCCTTGACTTGTTTTTGCTGTTTACATTACGTTCTCAATGGCAGTTTCTTAGCTGGTGCATATATGTGGTTATTCCTAGTAATCACACCCAGCAGATCTGGTTTGTTCCTTGTTATAGAATTTTAAACTCTCAAATCCTGGCAGCTCTGTAATGTATCTGTTAATGGTCTGATTTATAGGTGTACTTTTGTCTTGTACCATTAGGTGGCAGGACAAAACAAGGCTTATAGATGAGATCTCTGCTTGCTTGCGGAATGATAGCTGTTTGAGTTTGGCCATATTTTGAGTAACTCAGTGATTGATTTTGCTAATGTGTTTACTTTATGGACTATAAATGTGTTATTTTCATCATTTTAAGGCACTATCCCATTGGCGTGTTGTTTGATCTTCATGCTTCAAACACCGCTCTGCCCTGGAATATCACAGTGCGCTTTAAGGTGTGTAGACTGATTCATTCATTTCTTTTTCATGATGTTATTGATATGCCACAGTTGTAATTTCCTTTATTTTGTAGAACTTCCCAGAACGCGACTTGCTTCACTGCCCATCGAACTCTGTGATAGAAGCGCATTTCATGTCATGCATTAAAGAGGCAGATGCACTCAAACACAAAAGCCAAGTCATCAACGACATGCAGAAAAAAGACCATAAACAACTGTGGATGGGTCTGCAGAACGGTAAGAACTGCTGACCGGAGCTACGTTTTGCTTGCTCTCCTCATGTGCACTGTCTGTGTTAAGTGGAAAGGGTGATTATTTTAACTAAAATATATACCATACTTTCCCCAGTTGGTTAATCATTGCAGATTAAAACAATTATTTTTATTAGAAGTTTTCTGAAATGTTAAAAATACAAAATTAGACATTGTTTAATTAAATATGCACTAATTTGCATAGATATCCAGAAGTGAAATCTGAACATTGGATAAAGCCAGGTTCAGAATTCAACTTGTTTCATTTTGTTTGCATATTATAGTTGTTATAAGTTATTATAAGTTTTTTTTTAAACATTTTTTTATGGGTGTATCTTTGATTTTGGATTTGTCTTTTTATCGTTCCATGAATCAGAAAATACTGTCAACAGTTTAACCTCGTTAAAAAAAGAAATCTGTAGAAACCTTCATAATATATATAACTGTAAAGCTTGGTGTATATTATGGAAATGGAGATTTCTGGCTTAGTGCAGGAGAAAATACTTATTTGAGAAAACTGCCTTTAAAAATATGTATTGTAATAGAAATCTACAGATCCAAATAGATAGTGAAATAAAAGAAACGCTGAAATGTGTAATGTGGATGTTTTCTTTCCACTAGTCATAAAGAAGAAAAGATATGGAAGCAAAATAGCCCAAAATCTTAAAATTGCCCCGTCTCTGAAAAAAAAAAAAGGTTTTTACTTGTAGTGTCTTGCCTTAAAGGGATAGGTTACCCAAAAATTACAATTCTGTCATCATTTACTCACCCTCAACTTGTTCCAAACCTGTATGAATTTATTTCTTCTGTTGAACAAAAGATATTTTGAAGAACGTGGGTAACAAAACATTTTCTGGTCCCCATATTTCGTGTTCCATACTATAGAAGTCATTGAGGACCAGCAACTGTTTGGTAACCCACATTCTTCAAAATAACTTCTTGTATGTTCAACAGAAGAAAGAAACTTTTACAGGTTTGGAGCGACTTGAGAGTAAATGATGCCAGAATTGTAATTTTTGGGTGAACTATCCCTTTAAGGCTAGTGTACACTACTCAAAAAAGTTCTCGAAAGTTATAGCCAGTTTGTAGATTTTTAGCTTTCATAGTGTCGTAAATTTGATATTTCGAGCTGATTTTAGAACCAATATTGTTTTCATTTTTCATGTATCTCCTGAGGCGCATGCTTCTGCGTGAGTTTGTCGTGTTTGGAATGACTGGTAATGTGTGATCCTTAGTCGCATAGTGTATGAGATCAAGTTTGTTCCTCTGTAACCATTTACAAAGTCGTAACATGTATGAATAATTTGAAAATCTGTTCAGATTTTAAAGGAATAGTTTACCCAAAAATGTAATACATCACACAACTTTTAAAGAAATAGTTCACACAAAAATGAAAAATTGCTGAAAATGTACTCACCCGAAGGCCATCCAAGATGTAGATGAGATTGTTTCTTCATGGGAACAGATTTGGAGAAATGTAATATTGCATCAATTGCTCACCCGTGGATCCTCTGAAGTGAGCAAATGATGTAATGCAAATTTTCTCCAAATGAAGAAACAAATTCATATATATCGTGAGTAAATTTTTAGCAAATGTTCATTTTTTGGTGAACTTTTTAAAAAAGTTGTGTGGTGTATTCCAGCTTTAAAGGGGTCATATGATGCTTTTTTTAAAGATCATTATTTGGTGTAACAGAATATGTTGACATGCTTTAATGTTCAAAAAACACATTATTTTTCAAATACTGTACATTATTGTAGGTCCTCTATGCCCCGCCTCTCTCAAACGCTTCGTTTTCTACAAAGTCCCTCCTTCCGACAAGCGCAGTCTGCTCTGATTGGCCAGCTGACTCAGTGCATTGTGATTGGCCGAACACCGCAAGCACTCGTCGGAAATGTAACACTCCTTACCATAATCGCGAGCGTTATCTTTCAAAATAAATGTAAAGACAGTTAATAATGTCGTTAGTTTTACCTTCAGTTCAAGCCCGAAAGGGGAACAGAGTCGCGTGACAGCCACAGTGATGAAGCTGGTATGTATTTGCAGTACACAAGCCACGGTTATGACAGCTGACTCCACTGTGATGTGACCCTGTCTCTCTCTCTCTCACACACACTCACACATGATTGTGAGGTAGATATGTGGGGGCGTGTTAGAACGAGCCGTTTTAGTGGCAGAGTCTTAACTTTGATGAAGAATATCTCTTTGGTTTTGAGACTTTAGTCTTTGCAACTTCAGGGATCTTATCTATGCACAATCAGCTTGTAACACTCCAAAGAGAAAGGAAAACTTGAAATCGCATCATATGACCCCTTTAAACATAATGCCATCAGTAACTTCAAACCCACACTTTCATCTGAGAATTAGTGTATGCGATGCAGGCAGTGCTTAGGCAGTGGTTTCAGTAGTTAATTTAAAGGTGAAAATGTGAAGCGCTGCAGATAAACTGAGAAGTGTAAGTTTCAGAAGCATAGATGTTTTGATAACACACTGTCACAGCTGTCCTCTCTGATGAGTGTGTGAGCAGAGAAAGTAACAATTTCTAAGCGGATGTTGATTTTTCACCTGCACATGTGAGAACGCAGCCAGCGTGACAGAACACACTCGACTTTGCTGAGAAATCTCATGCCTGTTTATTCTAAAGTTATAAGCTATAAATATACAATTTTAATAATCATTACAATTCTGTTAGAATAGGGAAATCCACATCACAGCTATAATGATAATGACACGGAGGAATGATATTGTTGGAATCACTTCCAGAATGTGTTTTTCCAGCTGAATGACAGTAAATACATTGGCTGTACATCTGCCCGACTTTAAAGTGCTCAAGCATCGTCAAAACTACGTCATGTGCTTATAATAAACAGAAGGTGTCCCGTTACATCTGGCGTAAAACCAACACAGCATTTCATAAAAAGAACATCATACCAACAATCAAAGATGGTGGATAAACCTTTTCACACCACTGTATATATTTTTTAATGATCTGAATCTTGGCTGCAACAAATCGGGACACATGGTATTAATAGTTATTAATATTTCTAAATATTTACAATGAGCTCCCTAATAAACAGCAGTATGTGGATAAGAGACAAGGACCTCATGATGTAAAAGAATAGCTTTTTTATGTTTGAAAGAACTGCTTCTTGGAAATAAGTCAAACTTTCTTTCACTGTTATGTTGTGTTGCAGTCTGTTTCCACCAGCATGCTGAGATCATTTTCTAAAAGCTTGAGTGTCACATGGACATCTGACATTACATCCTGTAAATTCAGCTTTTTTGGATTTAAGTTGATTGTAAAGGTGTAATGGTCTAATGGACATAAACTAATTAGAATTTTGGCACGCACTAGAACATTCCTAATGTAAACCATAAAAAAACATGATTCTATAATGCATCAACAAATTTTCTGATTAAAAAGTCTTCATAACTCTTTGGCCTGTTGAAATGAAACTCATTGTGACTATTCCTTCAGGTTAACTGAGCAGATCACTGGTAAATCATCACATACTGTTCAAGAAATATGGCAAATAGCTTAAAACGTCGGAATAGTTTGGCCTAAAATCATGATATTGAAACTTATGTGTCATCATGCTTTGAAAGTACCTGGAAAATTTGGGGCAACACCACCTAATGATCAAAATGTTTTCAAATGCTTTTGATTACTTTGGCCCAGAGCCGGAGTGGGAGTCATTTTCAGTCCTGGAGTTTCATGCCTTAGAGCGGCCCACTTTAGCTCACAACTGACTATAGCAATTTCAATAATGTAATTAAAACTTCAGTATATAAGTCTGCAATAGCGCGCTGTTCTCTACAGACTTGTAATTCATTATATTTTTCTACAGCGTTGCTATTTTATTATTATTATTTTACTGGCCTTTTCAGCGCCGCCTTTGCACTTTCTATTATACATTTTTTAATCTATTATTTTTTGCTCGCATATCTACAACTAAATATGTGTAGGCATACTGTACCATAATGTCTGCCTGCAGTTAAAAATTTCTCAGACTCTCTCATCTTTTTAAGTGGGAGAACTTGCACAATTGGTGGCTGACTAAATACTTTTTTGCCCCACTGTATATTCTAAAAATAATTTTAATGTCATACAAAAAAAAAGTAATTGGCCTGAGTAAATTGTACCATTATAAAATCGTGACTACACAAGTAGTGTAGTAATTTAGGAGGTGAAAATAGTGTGAAATTACATACATACAAATGGCAAGAAATTTGAAAGCATAGCAACTGAACGTCTATGAAACGTCTACGCACTTAAATTTTTTGAACTAAAATGGCTATTATTGCAACCATATAGCCTATGAATGAATGAAAATGCATATTTTTCAATTAAAGAAAACTTGTGGGCTGAGTGCGGGCTGCTTCTGGCGCTTGGATTTCTACTTCAATAAAATGAGGTCCAAGTTTAAGAATGCGCTTTTATTTTTTTTTAAGCCCGAGTCCTGCTCGCTGTGAAACAGGAGCAGCCAGCAGAGGATTCCGCTTGGTCTTAAAGCCTTCACAAATAAAACAATATTTTGCCCTAAATTAATGATTAATTATCAATTGAGAATTTGTTATTCATATGGTCTGGTGGTCATATGGCGTATGCCTGCGAATACGGGACAAACTGAGTTATAACTTTCATACGGGAAGCTTCTTTGATGCCTTAAATACGGGCATCCATATTTCAACCCTTATAGCAGTGGCGTGTTGACAGTACCGGCCCTCGTGGCCAAAAAACAGACCGGACCACCGGGAATTTTCCCGGTGCTTCCGATTAGCCAATCCAAGCCTGCTTTGGCCTATAGACCCTTTTTACATGCCCAGATTTAAAGCAGGGGAGTAAACTATAGCAGGGTGAATCTCTATAGGAGAAAGTGGGAGACCATAGCAAATATAAATCTATAAATATAAAAATATAATAAAAAAAATTAATTTCTATATTTATATTTATACCCTGTAGCCCAAGACTGGTTGCCCACTGA